GCAAAGAGTCACCAACTCAAGAGAAACACAGCTGGACCAGCCAGGTCTGGGCATGCACCACCCATCACCCTTTCTGACTAACCCAGGGCAGGGGAAAAAATAGCTCCTGTTAAAGAAAATAACTGAAACGACCCATCTTCAAGGATTCACTAGTAGGTCAACTGAAACAGAAGCCCTCTAAGCAAAGGGCATTTTGCTGTTAAGTGCATCAGCCTGGCTGTGCAGACCTCCCAGGGTTTCAAGAAATGCTGCTAGATGCTGGCAGCTCCATGATCCACCTCCCCAGCTCACCCGGAAGACTCTGTCGAGGGAGAGTTTGCCAAGTTCAGATCTCATAGTGGTCTGGGCCAGCTGGGTCACTGCGTACTCGGGATCTTCCACCCCATAGCTGGCCTGGGGAGCAGAAGAAAAAAGAGAGTCGATGGCAGTGCCGAGAGGGACCCCGAACGAGGCAGGATGGGCAAATGCTAAGCACTAAGATGAGAAACCTGACACAGACACCCCTGCCAAAGAAAAGTGGGGTCCAGAGCTGAAATCTGCCTTCCCCTCCTCCTCCCATTCCCTCGGGAGGGAACAGGGTGCTCAGCCCACCCGCCTCGCAGAGCACAGCAAGCCAGGCAGAGGCTGAAGCACGTGTCATGGAGAGAAGTGAGCCAGCAGAGCCAGGCGAGCAGTGCCTGAGGGGCTGCCAAGGCAGCCAGCTGGGCGACACGGCATATGCAGACCGCGCTGACTGCAGCCAGAGACGCTAGGAGGCTGCCAGTTTGACTCATGCCGAGTGTCAGTGCAACAGGGACAGTACCTTGTAGGGGTCCATAACCCGCAGATAGAGCACACCGTCAATCTGCAGGGTGACGTTATCTGCCAGGAGAGAACGACACGTTCTGTTTAGTGAAGCAGCAAAGTAAAGCCATGGCAACCCCCTCTCTCCTGACAGAATTAGCAGAGCTGGGCAGGGTCGTCCCTTTCCTTCCTGGTGTCAACAGCGTGGCATGGAAGAGGGATCGATTGAAATGTACCTCCTTATGCAAAGGGCTTTGTAAAAAGGACCCTGACATTCCCTACAAAATGCCTCATTTTGACATTTTAATACACAAGAAGTCTCAGGTCTCCAGATCAAAACATTTCATACTGTAGTTATTTTTAAAAACAAAATATTTAAGGGAATAAAAAAATAAAAAGCTTTATACTAAAACTGTAACAGAGCTGTCCGTTAACTTGATCCGAAATCTTTTTTACAGAAACACAGAGGAGATTTTTCCTGGTTCAAGACAGGAAAACATCTGAAAAATGGATTCCTGCCCAGGTGCATTCAACCCAACAAGAAGGGGCAGCCACAGCCCACAGAGAGCAGACAGGACCTCCTGGGGTTCTCCCACTCACACCACCACAAGGACAGTCAAGCCCAGGTGCCCAGGGACAGGGCTGAGTATGGAGTCTGGGACATTTCCACTCTTCCCCGCACTGTCCCTTGCTCACCCTGGATGCAGTGGAAGGAAAAGGGCAGGACGCAGAAGCTGTTCCTTACCTAGAGTGACAGCTGACTGCTCTGGGACGTTAATAACGATTTCTTTGAGACTCTGCACATAACGAATCCGATCCAGCAGAGGGATGAGGAAGTTCAAACCCTGGGAAAAGGGTGGGATTAGATGGCTGAGCCCTCTAATCTGGGGTTTCACACCCCCCCAAGAGCTCAGCCAGGCTAGAGAGGGCTGTGCAAACAAAGCTCAAGTACACTACATGCTGTAGATGCTGCAGGCAGAGCAAACGTGCTTCCCATACAGAGGAAACTTTGGTTTCTCAGTGCTTTTAACACCCCACCAAAGGAAATTAGTCTAACAAGCAACCAAAAGGATCACGATCTGGAAGAATAAGCACACCATCCCCCAAATCCTCGCGCAAAGGACGCCTCGCTACAGCTTTAGGAACCTGCTGAATCCAGAAGGGATGAAAAGCAGCTCCTTACAGGCTCAAGGATTCGGTGGAACTTGCCCATCCTCTCCACCACCCAAGCCTCCTGCTGTGGCACAAAGAGCACCCCAATATGCACGGGCAGGCCAGAGTTCAAGCGGTGTGGTGCTGGGGCTAGCCACGCTGAACACTTCAGCTGTTGGGAGCGCTGGAGAAAGGAAGAGGAACAGGATGGAGACTGGTTGCTGGCACCTCGGAGCCCAGCGCCATCCCTGCACGAGCACAGACACACCTGTGTGCTGTGCTGGGCAGCCCTGCCCCAGCCCCTTGCATGTGACAACCCTCCTCTTCCAGGCTCTGCTCTCCCATCTGGGATTGCTGCTCATGGCCCCAGTACACCAGGGCAGGAAACATCACTGACACCCCAAACAAGCACACGCTGTGAGGGGACATCGGCTGTCCCCACAGGGATGAGTCAGGACCTTCCCTGCAGATGTGGGGGGGGTTCACCCCAGTGTTGGAGCTTTCTCCACATCTTCCCTTCCCTCACATCCCTGCATGACACATCCCTCCCTCCCTCTCTGACACTGTAAGGGAAAGGAAGGTGTGGGATGGGGGTCTCTTCTGTCCCACTCAGCCCCCTGTAACCTGGTCAGACTCCTTCCTCCCACCCCTCTCCACCCCCCACTTCGGTCCCAGGCCCCCCTTGCCAGCCTGTCCCTCCCCAGCTGGGCTGCCTTCCGGCTCCCCCGGAGGAGCTGCGCCCCCTGGGCACAATCTCACCCTCCTCCCCACAGCCCCAGCCCCTCACTCCCCCCAGCTCTTCTCACTACCTCCCATGCCCAGCTCCCCACAGCCTCCTCACTAACCCTCATGCCTGCCCCCCGGCACCACAATCCACACCC